TAATAATAATAATAATAATAATAATAATAATAATAATAATAAAATATTATTTCAATCTGAAAACAATAATGCCACAAATTTGAAAAGAAAAAAAATAGAATGTGGGATATGATAAGGACAAAACACGCTTTGTCGTTGAAAATAACGATACTAATAATAGCATTTTTGGTATAGAATTTAGTGGAATATATGCCACATTATTTTATAATGTTTTGTCTTTTTAAAGACCAATCGTTAATCGCTCTCTAACAAGGCAGGAAAACCGTCTACGTCAAAGCTGATCAATAATGGACTCAGAATGTGAATCCATAAGAAAGAGAAATGTTACGGTTCCGTCATGGAACAATTCCGTCGAAAATTGTAACCGTTAGATTATCATGTAACTGTCTAGTATAGTTAATGTAACGATTACAAACACCGACGAAATGTTACCGTAACAGAACCATAGCATCTCCTAAAAAGGTGAACAAATTATTATCCCCTAAAAAGGTGAACAAATTTCGTAATCAATAATTCATAAAATTATTATTTGAACATAAAAAAATTAATATTATAGAGAAATCTTTTGTTTTACTATTCTAATTTCATTTTCTTGAATGAATGACTCGTATATAAATATAAAGTTATTCATTTAACAAAAAGAAATTCGAAAATAACACAAAGTTAAATAGGAAATATAATTTCATTAGAAGCATTTAAGAAAAGAAAGATCATTGTTAAAAAAAAAAAAAGGAGGTCCCAAGACCATCATGAGTCCATGACCTATATGAGTTTCTAATGTCACATTATTTCAATTATATGAGTAGGAAGGATAGCCTCCACTAAAACGGTGGATTTATTTTATTTTAGACACCATATAACTTTTGATTTGGTAGGTTAATAACCAATAGCATAATTAATTACTTTTTAAATGTTATCTACTTCATTTTTACTAGTACGTACCCCGTGCGATGCACGGACTGTATTTATTTTGGTAAAATTTATAATTGAAAGGTATTAATCAATAATTTATAATACATAGAACATTTGTTAGGTAATCGTAAAATAATCATCATGAAAAAATTATATATTATTAAAAAGCTTTTTATTTTTCCATGCAAAATTATTTTCCACTTGGTAACTGTAAATCGATATTTACCAAGATTGCTCTCTACTTGGTAATTGTGAATTGCATAGACACCTCATTCCTTCATTTTTTTTTTTTTGTTGATTTTCGGAATGTTACCACCATGAAATGAAAATATAGTGAAAATATGTAATATTGTGATAGATACTAAAGATATGATTATCTTGTGAAGTTTAATTTTATATCGAGTAGAAGGAAAATTGTTACCTTAAAGTTAAAATGTGGATTTTGAGTATATCCTTTTTTTTTTTTTTTGGTCAATCATTCTCATTTTTTATGCCAAAACCATTCCAAAAATTGAGAACAATTTTGTTTTGTTATGTTTTAACAGAGATTTGGAAATTGGTTGTATCTTTTGTAAAACATATATAGAAATAATTACGTTTAAAAAAAACAACAACGATATTTTATCATTTGTAAATAAAAAATAACTAAATGAATCGAAGGACATGTAAATCACGATTTTTAAATGAAAAATATGTTTCATAAAAAAAGTGATTAGAAAATGATTCAAAATGATAAAAAGAAAATCGTATATTATAACAAAAAGATGTTTACATGAGTAGTGGATTAATGAATCAAAAATTGTAGCAATTTTAAAAAACATGTTACCATGATTGAAATGAATCTTTAAAATATTTTTTACTTTCTGTTAAGTTGCATATGTTGCATAACTATATATGAAAAAAAATAAAATATTTAAAGTTCAAATAGGTGATTTATTTATATGTATATAATAAAGTGTACAGTCCAAATAATTAAATTATATTTAGCATTTATATTGTTAATATTGATACCGTGATTATCGTAAAGTCCAACTCTCATTTTTACGGTAAATTTATATTATATTAAAATGAATTGATAAGTCTAAAAAGAGATATAAATTGAATTAAAAAGATTGAATCGTGGTTAAATATATTGATATCATAATTATACTGTTTTTAAGAAGATATTCCATAGCATTTGGTTCCATAATAGTACTGCTTTTAATTATAATTGATTCCAAATAGCTGGATTTAGTGTTTAATCAAATATTATGGAATATCTTTTTAAAAATATCTAATTATTAATTTACTTTTTTTATTTATTTTATTTTTATTTTTGCCAATTGACAATATTATGTTTGATCACATTGTGCACGCAGATAATTTTTTAGATATAAAGTTGTGAACTTAACAAATATCTTATGTGGTTCACAATCCATATAAACAATTGACATTTGTTAAAATTTATGTGATAACAACATTTATGCAATTGTAAATGCTCTTATTTTGTTTTAAACAATTTCAAATATACTTCTATCTATTGCAAATAAAATTCATACTATTTAAATTCGAACATTTCGTACCAAAAATAAATCACCCACTTTATACCACAAAATCGGACATTTATTATTAACAACACATTTTCTATGAAAACATAAAAATGGCTACCAAATACTTAAAATAAAATCATCAACTTTATACCAAAATTGGATTTATTAATTTTGTCAACTTTATACCATAAATTAATTAAGTATTTTCTAAAAGTCATTTCTACATTTTATCAAAAATATTTTTTAGCGGCACATAAATGTTATTTATATTTTTGTATTTGGTTATCTTGTCTACAAAAAAAAAAAAAAAGATAATCTTGCAATTCTACTATGCCAACAAAAAGATGTATGAAAAATAACATAAGTATTAATTTATTACGTTTTACTCAATACAAGAAATATAATATAGATATAAAGATTAACTAATAATTCTCTATAATTGCTCAATCAAGTCTATATATTTAAACTAAGGATTTTGAAATTTTTTATAATGCCCCTATATTTGTTTCCATATAACTAAATCATCCTAAATTTAAATTAAACTAATAAAGGTAATAACCATAAATATTTGACTAAAAAGATTATGTACATTAATTACATTGATTGTTGTTAATTTACTATTTTTAGACAATAATTAATGAAATTGGCGGGAAATTGTTTCTAAAAGTGAATTATGTTAATCCTTATTATATATTAATAGATTTTATATAATGAATAAGATTGCCACAAATTCAACGAATTGAACCTTGACCCGTCGAATCTGCTAATTATCTCGTTCACTAAATAGCTTATTTGATTAGTTTTTTTTAACACAAAAAGCTTATTCTAAAAAACTCAGTATATGAACGTTTAAGAAAAGATGATTCGTAGAACAACACGTCGACGTAAAACTTCAAAAATAGCAAAATATTACGACATACCATATCGTTATCTCAAACAGGCAATACTGCTGAAATAATAAAAGACGACATGGAGGAAGAAATCTTCTTTTCTGTTATTTTCCCCTTCATCGTAAAAAGGAGTCTTTTGGGGTACATATAGTGATTACAAGAGATAAGGATAACATCAAATCAAATATTTAGTTGCTAAAGATAACTACAGAAAATATTCTAACTACGGAAAATATCAAATCAAATATTCTTCCTAAAGTATCCGTTACACCCCCCCTCAAGTTGGAGCATGAAGATCCCGAATGCCCAACTTGCTGAGAAAATTCGTGAATTCTTGTCCACCCAAAGCCTTAGTAAAAATATCTGCCAACTGGGTCGTGGTAGGAACATAAGTAGGAGCAATTAAGCCCTTCAACAGTGCGGCACGAACAAAATGACAATCAATCTCAATGTGCTTAGTACGCTCATGAAATACGGGATTAGAGGCAATGTGCAAGGCCGCCTTGCTGTCACAAAAGAGAGAAACAGGAGATAGATGATCAACACCAAAACAACTCAAAAGGGACTTCAACCATAACAGCTCACAAGTGGTAGAGGCCATGGAGCGATATTCTGCTTCGACGGAAGAGCGAGACATGGTAGGCTGCTTCTTCGTCTTCCAGGAGATAGGCTATGAACCGAGTTGAATGAGCCAACCAGTGAGAGAGCGACGCGTAAGAGGACAACCTGCCCAATCAGAGTCGCACCAAGCAGTAAGACGTAAGTCGGAATCAGCCCGAAAGAAAATGCCTTGACCAGGACTTCGTTTCAAATACCGCACAACCCGAAGAGCAGCATCCCAATGAGCCTGGAGAGGATTGTGCATAAACTGAGACAAAACATGGACAGAATAAGACAAGTCAGGTCGAGTGACAGCAAGATAAATAAGTCTGCCAACCAAACGCCTGTACTTCTATGGATCGGAGAATGGAGGTCCAGTGACAAGCGAAAGCTGGTGATTCTGCTCAAGGGGAAAGGAGGTTGGTTTAGCCCCGAGAAACCCAACCTCGGATAATATGTCAAGAGAATACTTCCGTTGGCATAGGAAAATGCCAGAGGAATTGCGAGCAACTTCCAGACCCAGAAAATATTTCAAAATTCCAAGATCCTTCATATGAAAGCAATGACTTAAATAAGCCTTGAAGGAAGAGATGGCGCCACTGTTATTGCCGGAGATGATCAAATCATCAACATAGACGAGAACGTGCAGCCGAAGACCGTCACAATAGTCGGCATAGGATTGACGAAAGCCATATTGTCGAAGTGCTGTAGTGAGTTTTGCAAACCAGCATCGGGGAGCTTGCTTAAGACCATATAAAGATCGTTTCAAACGGCAAACAAGGTCAGACGTCTTAGACCGAAAACCAGGAGGCAGTCTCATATACACCTCTTCATCAAGATAACCGTGGAGAAAAGCATTGTGAACATCCATCTGATGCAATTCCCACTGTCGGGCAGCAGCAACAGCAAGAAAAGTGCGTACAGTCACCATTTTGGCGACCGGAGCAAAGGTCTCAGTATAGTCTACGCCTTCGACCTGATTGTTCCCGAGGATAACCAGACGAGCTTTATAGCGTTCAATAGACCCATCAGATCGGTATTTAATACGGAACACCCATTTACATCCAATAGCATTTTTACCAGGAGGAAGGGGAACAAGATTCCAAGTATGGTTATTCTCAAGTGCTTGAATTTTAGACTGCATGGCAGAGCGCCAATTAGAATCCTCCATGGCTTCGGTAAAAGTCCGTGGCTCGACAGAGGTGTCAAGCACTGCCAAGAAAGTCTTATGGGCAGAAGAGAAATTAGTACTGTCAACAAAATGAGCTAAGGGATAAGGAGTACCTGAGGACGATGAACTGGTCGATGAGTGAACAGGGGGGGTAATAGTACTGGCAACGTGGTCTCGCAGTCTGACTGAGGGAAACTTCGTTCGATGGCCACGGCCCAAGAGCTCAGTATCAGGGCCCTTTTGGACCTCAGTAGCCCCAGAGGGAGAAATGGCCGGCACAGAATCAAGAATAGATGAGGACTCATCATCAATAGCAGGCCATGGTGAAGAAGAAACAAGCGGTACAGAATCAGACCCAGAAGTAGGGCATGTAGAAAAAGGAAACTGGCCTTCAAAGAATTTAACATCCCGAGAGACGAGAAACTCCCGGGTGTCAAGATCAAAAACGGACCAACCCTTCTTCCCAAAAGGATAGCCCACAAAAATGCACTTTCTGCTACGACTGGCAAATATATCCCCCGAACGATCCAAATTGTGAACATAGCACAAGCAGCCAAAAACACGAAGATTCTTAATAGGGGGAGCTTGGCCAAAAAGAACCTCATAGGGACTGTTCCCATGTAATAGTGGAGTGGGAGTACGGTTGATTAAATATCCGGCAGTCAAGACACAGTGTCCCCAAAAATCTATGGGCAAATCGGCCTGAAAACGCAGAGAACGCGCCACATTGAGAATATGACGATGCTTGCGTTCCACTCGACCATTCTGCTGGGGAGTAGCTACACAAGACGTCTCATGTAAAATACCGTGACGTCGAATAAATGAAGTGAGACACATAAATTCAGTCCCATTATCGCTTCTGACAACTTTCACCAATTTATTAAATTGTCGTTTCACCATGGCAAAAAAATCAGTCAAAGTAGAAGAAACACAACCTTTGTCATTCAACAAATAAAGCCATACAGCGCGAGAAAAATCATCAAAAATTGTCAAAAAATATCTAGCCCCAGAAAATGAGGGGACTCGATAAGGGCCCCATAAATCACAATGAATCAAAGCAAAAGGTTCCAAACTATTACTGTCACTCAAAGGAAATGAATCTCGAGTATGCTTGGCACGATGACAGACATCACAAGCTTTATTGTCAAAACTACTAACATGAGTAGGAGCTAAATTACAAAGTTTCCCAATAACCTGCGGGGGTGGATATCCCAAACGTTGATGCCACAAATCCATAGGTCCGCCAACAGATACCTTAGTCGTCATCGTCTGCAGAGGATCACGAAAAAAATATAACCCCCCCTTTTGTTCACCCAGACCAATCACCGTCCTCGTAGTACGGTCCTGTATCAGACAATAAACATTAGTGAAGTGGGCGGTACACCCATGATCATCCAATAAGTGATATAAGGAAATGAGACTGCATTTAAGACGAGGCACAAATAGAACATTAAGCAAGACCAAATTTTGACTAAGACGAACTTTGCCGGATTTAGTCGCAATAATCAATTGCCCATCAGGGAGCTGCACCGGTCGAGGTGAAATATCACAAATATCAACGAGACATTGAAAAAATCCAGTCATGTGATGTGTAGCGCCACAATCATACATCCAATTACGGGAATAATCCTTACCAGTTAAATGAGTAGAAGCGGAAGACTCGGATTTATTAGGCGTACGATATTTACTAATGCTTGCCATTGGTCCGGGCTCAAACCTGTAGCAGCTGGAACAGGATTAGTACCATAAGTGCCAAATTGAAGAGAAGGACCTACAGTACCTGGCCCAATAAGACCTGGCCCAACAGAATTGGCCCCCATAGAGTTATTAGCGTGAGCCTTAGCAGAATGGGAGGAAATTAAGCCTCGGTCACTTCCAGCAGAAGAGGAAGATGAGGCGCTAATCGATCGCCCTTGCCCTGCCGGAGGAGCGCCGGTAGAAGAAGACTTGCCGGACCAATTCGCCGGATAGCCGACGACCTCGAAGCAGCGACGAGGGTCATGACCCGGCCGGTGACAGTGAGGGCAAGGTTTGACCCGAAAGCAATTTTGGGCATCATGACCGGATCGCCCACAGAGATGGCAGTGACGAGCAGAAGAAGATGGTCGCGGAGGACGGGAAGACGATTGGCGACTTGCAGCGGTTGCGAAGCTCATGATGTCGGCTGTCGGAGCAGGAGAAGAGGATAATCGTTCCTCCTGACAGATTACGGAATAAACCTGATCCAAAGAGGGTAATGGATCTTGGGCCAGAAGACCAGAACGGGCCGACCCATACACCTCTTTATCCAAGCCTAATAAGAACTGGTGAGTTTCTTCTGCGTCTATTCGAGCCTCGAATGCACGGGCATGACCGCAGGTACAAGCAATCGGCGGTTGATATGAATTTAATTCGTCAAATAGCATTCGCAGCTTGCCATAATAAGCACTGTCAGTCATACCTTTTTGTACTGTAGAAGCCAATTCACCTTTCAATTGCTGAATGCGAGTGCCGTTGACAACAGAGAAACGACGACGAAGATGATCCCACAATTCTTTTGCGAGTTCAATTTGAGGAATGGAGGGACGAAGTACCGGATCGATCGTATTCTTTATCCAGGAGAGCAAAATCGAGTTATTGACGAACCAATCTTCGAGGACTGGTGAGTTGTCGGCCGGTTTGGAAATAGAACCGTCAAGAAAACCGAATTTTTTGCGTGCCCGGAGAGCTGTCCGGAGCGATGAGGACCATTCGATGTAATTTTGTCCCGTGAGAAGAACTATAGAAATCAAGCATCCGGGATTATCACTCGAGGTGATATCTTATGGTGAGATTGTTTTATAAGTCGGTTGAGAACCCGTGCTAGATGACATGATGAAAGCAAAAGAAAATGATGACGTGAAAAAAAAATTAGGTATGATGTTCTTCACATCTCTGATACCATACTGAAATAATAAAAGACGACATGGAGGAAGAAATTTTCTTTTCTGTTATTTTCCCTTGATCGTAAAAAGGAGTCTTTTGGGGTACATATAGTGATTACAAGAGATAAGGATAACATCAAATCAAATATTTAGTTGCTAAAGATAACTACAGAAAATATCAAATCAAATATTCTTCCTAAAGTATCCGTTACAATATATTTGTTTTCTCCATTAAACCGGGTGTAGTATAATATCATATATTAATGTGCATAAGGTCACAGAGTTAATTGAAACAGAGGATGGTGAACCATACTACATATTCAAACTGTAAATTCTGATCTTAAAGACAAGTGGAGATAGAGATTTCACAGGATAAGACAGTTCACAGTAGCATCATCTTATACTTTTTATAGCATGAAGAAACTTATGTAGCTCGACGTGGCTGAAGGCAGCTCAGATGCAGACAGAAACAAAAAAGTGAGATTGAGAAGTTGGCGGTTATGGGTAAAAGGTAAAATCGAACACTTCATCTGGAAATGATTTCCGATTACTTTGTCGGCTAATGTGAATGTGAGGAGGAAATTCATTGTTATTTATCTCTTGTGTCAAGGTTGTTGAATGGAAGAGGAAACTATTGAGAACGTTTTTTTTTTTTTTTTCAAATATGACTAAGCCAGAAGAGTGTGGAAACATGCCTCTGTTTGTTGGGATGGTTTGAAAAATGACAATTGCAGGTTTTCTGACTGGTAGGGAATGATTTGTAGTGTAGATGGCTTCGAGGTTTCTGAAGCCAGGATAGAGCTTACTACGTACATATTATTGTGGCTTTGAAAATCAAGAAACCTACGGTTGTTTGACAAGGTGTGGAGGTCAGAGACTGGTACAGGAAAATGAGTAGTAGAAGAATGGTTGGAAGTTGATCAGTTGGGAAGGCTAGCTAGAAGAGGCAAACGTAGATTCTGAGCGAGGTCTATTCTTTGGAGCAGTTAAGTGATTGAGAAGTTTTTTGTTGTTTTTTTTCTTCTTTTACTATTTTCTCTTTGGCTTGAGTTTGAGTTGTGTTTGGTCTAAAACTGAAGGTTTCAGTGTGTGTACTTCCTTTGGTTTTGTCTGTTGATTTTGGTTGGTTTATAGACTACATATCTTGTTATGTAGTTCTCTTCGGTTTATGCCCTTGGTTTTTTTGGTTTTTCCCGTATTGTATTTGGACTTTGTACTTTGTTGTTTTTTAGTGGAGTCCACCTATCGTTTATTTAAAAAAAAA